TATGTTTAGTTCCTCAAGTAGAGTGACGGCCTCAAGTCGTGAAAGGAGGTAACATTAATATGTTTAGTTCCTCAAGTAGAGTGACGGCCTCAAGTCGTGGGAATAAATCAGTTTAGGAGTCTAAATTTCAGCATCGCTACAACAAAGTCGCGTGCAGGCAGACGTGACCTCTTCACAAGTCTTTGCATGCTACATGCCCAGAATTCAATCACTATATTGAATTAAATTTCTAAGAATCCGTATTCCCCTGGGTCTAGGGAGTTGACACATGACAGTGCATGAGCGTGCGTTGGTCTCAGCTATTTGTGTATTCTCTTCGGTCGCTGTACATTCAGCGAGACGTCTATTTGAAATAAGAAAAAATATGAAGTCAATTCTGACATTGAAAGAAAGGACAATTTTTATTTGCATATATAAAAAATCAGAATATCCAAAATTAATTCGAAAGAAGATTTTCTGTGCTTTGAATTCCGTACGGCGCAGAGTTTGTTAGATCATTTAGTAAAAGATTATGGAGGAAAACATGATCTATACAACTACACGGTAACTGTAAATGAACCATGTAGAAAAGTAAAGCAATCCCTGTAATAGGCCGTGGAGGCCCATAAGGTTCTGAGACGTCGAGGTTCATACATTTTCTAGACAGTTGGCATACAAATGGCTGTGAGGTTGTCAGTCTTAGCGCTGGAAGCCCGATCTTTACCCCCATGAAGATTCCTAGTACTCATTAGAGGCTGAGTGAAACCCAGGGCCATAATGCGGCTGTAAAGATTAGGTCAATTGAAAAAAAAAATTACTTCATTGGGACTCGAAAACCCCCGATTTTCCCACTTGTAGCCTAATGCCTCGACCAACTACGTTACCCCGTTCCCCTATTGAACCTTTTGGTGTGAAATATTATGAGACGAAACAAATGAAAAATCGAAATAATGTGGGTGCTTCGTGAGCGCAAATGAGAAGCGAAGGTTTGACACGAGTTATCCTGTAATTTACGTTGTCATGGTAAACGAATGTGACAAACAAAAAAAGCAGAACATATTAAAGACACCAGAAAGTGAACAGTATAGTGTCTTCGTTGTACATTTGTGCATTTTCAGTCATGTAATTAAGAAAATAAGTTTCTCTTCCTGTCACCAGAGGGTGTTAAGGATCTGCTACTCTGTATCAGTGGTGTTCTGTATCATGGAAATTTTCTGGAATGGGAACCCGTGCAGGAATGAGAACAAATATCCATCTAGGAACAAATTGGAAAGCCTTGGATTCCAGAGGGATTTTAGAGGGACACTGAAAAGATAGAGAAGTGTGAAAAATTGGAAAAGGAAAGGCGGTGACATGGGTAATATTTGCAACATCGCTGCTGTACTTATCTTGAAAAGCCTGCTCAAGCCAATATAGTCGTGCATAGTGAGGGAACAAGCTTGAGGACGTATAGAAGAACTCTCAGACCAATTCTGATATGTACAATTAACACACCTTCAGGCACCTCAAGAACAAACCTAATATTGGGAACAACTGAAATTAATACAGGGTTAGCCTAAAAGAAATAGACAGTTTAAATGACTCGTGTTCGTGAAACTTACACGCGCAACCCCCCAGAAAAGTCGACAACACGTGCAAGTTTAGAACTTCAAGAACATAAAGGTCAGAGTTTATGTTCCTACCTTCCCCACAAGTGTGGACGATCTTAAACAACGCATCACAGTAGCTGCTGCGACTGTTAACATGGGCATGCTGAGAAGCGTTTGGGAAGAACTGGACTATCGCATTGATATTTGGCGTGTTACAGAAGGGTCAAATATAGAGCACTTCTAACTTACCCATGTAAATTTCAGGGCGTACTTTTCAAACAATGTAAGTATCTCGGCCATGCTATTAAAACTCTTCCTTCTGTAAAACTTCGAAAGTGTCTATATCTATTAGGCTAACCCTGTATATTACGAGTGATAAGAGGTAAAAGGTAAAGTTGTCCCTGTGCTTAACTAATTAAGCACTACGCCCTGAAGACGTATGGGGGAGTGGATGTATAGATCCATATGTTCTTCACATCGGCGCTATTTGGAGGCGAGTAATTGGATTCATGCCCCTGCTGCTTTATCCCCGAAGAAAGAGACCCTGGTACCCATTGGATAGGAGGCTGGGTGTGCCCCAGAGACGGTCTGGACGGCGTGGGGAAAAGAAAATTCTTGGTCCTACCTACTCCGAACTCTCGGTCATCCAGCCCGTATCCAGTCGCTATACCGACTGTGCTACACATATTCACATTTTGTGAATGATAACGGACGAAACAAGGATAGAGTGAAGCTCTCTAGGCAGTGTCTGTGAAGATTGATGTCTTATGAAATCCGACACAAAGTGAATTAGTTCCGAGGACATTGATGTCCCCATTCTTGCAGTAGGCTCTTAAGAGAGAGAATGCTCTTTTCTCTTCGAAATGGATATACGTATCTACCACAAACCGAACAGCGATAACGGAATGAGAGTCTTGATAAAGGGAAAATTGAAGATTATAGTATGAAATTTTTGAGACTTGCGGATAAACTGAGAATATTAGAAGAACAGGGGAAAGAAAATATAAGAAAAAGATTAAATAGTTGGTAAGTGAATAAAAGCTGCAAAATATATAAGACTTTCGTGACCTAACAACAGCGTGAAAATTACAGAAGGAACATTTGTGAAATAAATATTAAAACGCACATGGAGAAGGAAAAGCGATGTAAGATTGGCAGTTCAATTATAAAAATCTGGGGTGGAAATACGTCAATGAACATAATTCACGACACTGAAGAAGAAGAAGAAGAAGAAGAAGAAGAAGAAAAAGCTTAGTTAGGAGGAGGAGAATGAGAAGGAGAGGAAGAGGAGGAGAAGAAGAAGAGGAGAGGAGGAGGAGAATAAGAAGGAGAAGAAGAAGACGAGGAGGAGAAGAAGAAGGAGGAGGAGGAGAAGAAGAGGATGAGGAGGAGGAAGAAATTCAAGAAGAGAAGTGCTGACTATTTCCAACATGTACCGCCCCCTGTGGCCCTACGTATAAGATGGGCGCCCAGTACTGCTGAATTAGTGATGAGTCCAAAGCCACATTGCATTCCGCATGTTGCCTGCTGCGGTTACCCCGGAAACAGACAACCAGTCTGACCAATCCACATGGCTTAACATCCCTTTCCTGGGTAAATTACGCCAACAGTGATTATGTAACAAGAATATCCAAGCAAATCCCATGGAACTAACCTTGCAATAGAGTGGTTAGCATTCCTGCATCGTGTTTGTGGGGTCCCATGTTCCACTGTCAGCACATAGATAGGCTCTTCTGAGATTCCGTACTTTCCCTCAGGCCCTCCGGACAAATTCCGGAATGGTACCTTCACAGGCTAAGATCTCCTTTTTTTCTGAGTATTTCTCTGCTCAACATTTATTTGGGAGCTGGGATAGCTCAGTCGGTACAGCAAGTAGCTACGGGCTGGGCGACCAATCGTTTGGAGTTCGAGTCCCGGTAAGGGCAAGAATTTTCTCTTAACCATGTCGTCCAGACCGGTTCTGGACCTCACCTCCCCTTCTATCTAATGGGTACTGGGGCTTTTTCCCTGGGAGTAAAGTGGCCGGGACGTGAAGCTGACCATTCACTTCAAACTAATGCCGGGATCAAGAAAACATCCACTTCCCCATACACATTCATGGCGTAGTGCTTAGTTAAGCAGAGGGACAACTTCATTCGTCGTTTATAATCACCTTCACATACAATTCGGCTGTATAAACATTTTCGGTCGAAAGAGTGTTGTTGCATAATGCAAAAACTCATTCCATACATTTATAGAGAGACATCTTTATGCTAGTTTAAAGGTTAGCTGAGTGTGACGATGACCAATTATCTGTCTATGAAAAAATAAATACTGATAATTGAACCTCCATGGCCCCAACACATCTTAATTTTATGATGCTAAACGGAGGGACAGCTCCGATGAAACTGTGGCATCCTGGCACTGGTGGATTTATTTGTACACTAAGAATAGACTTGAAAGGATTCTGACGATGGTATATACTGTACTTCTTTTGGCTTATTTTGGACTTCGTCTATCGTCTGGTATGTAAAAGACAAAAGACCCCACGAGTTTCGGAGACTGGATCTGTCTCCGTCTTCAGGTGGGTAGGGAAGGATAAACCTACTCAGTTGGGCCCGTTAGAAAGAGCTAGTCTCAATCACTGGACCTACCCACCTGAAGACGGAGACAGAGCCAGTCTCCGAAACTCGTGGTTTTTTGTCTTTTACATACCAGACGATGGATGAAGTCCAAAATAAGCCAAAAGAAGTACACTAAGAATAGTTTTGAGAATCACTGAGACCCCCAAGCAGTGGATATTTTGCCTCTTACCCTAAGAAGAAAAATATTCAAACCTATCAGTAGCTAACATTACATAGACCCGATAACTCCATCAACTGGTGTATAATGAATTGGAAAGAATGTTGAAGGAAGTGAATGTGACGTCATTTGAGGTACTATCTCTACATTTTCCTAGAGGATTGTAGAAAATCATGAAAAAAATAATTGTCTCAGGCTATCCGGTCTCCTGGTAACGATTTTAACCCGGAATCTTCAGAATACGAAACAGGAGACTATCCACTTGGGCCTCTGGGTTCTGTAACTCTCGGGAGGCTGAGTGGAGGAACCGGAATATAAAACTGAGGGCACAACGAGAATTGGAAGTTTTGATCTTAAAGAACTCACGCCTTTAAGCCCTCACAGTGCTGTGCTCAGTCACGTGGACTTTCATTTCGTTATAACGCGTGAGACCTGGTTTGTATTATCTAATCCATGTGTGTGAACAAACTTGTAGAGTGATCTCTATTATAGTGGACCGTCTCTTTCTACACTGCAGTGTCAAAGGCGAAAATCCTTGGCAACCCTGAGCTGTACATCAAGAGCGGCAGTGACATCAACCTCACGTGCGTGGTCCTGCAGACACCAGAGCCACCGTCATTCATCTACTGGTACCAAGGCGCCCACGTCATTAACTATTCCCAGCGAGGAGGCATTAGCGTAGTAACTGAGAAACAAACCCGCACCAGTCGCCTCTTGATCTCGCGCGCCCTACCACAGGACTCTGGTAACTACACCTGCTCGCCGTCCAGTTCTGACTCTGCCAGCGTCCTGGTACACGTTCTGAATGGTTAGTACTTCTCTGCTTCACCGGAAGTGGAGGCCATTTTCTTACCAATCTCATATTGTTCTCAACTAACATCAAAATGAATTGTTAATCCACTGTTATAGCAGTGCTGGACTGATATTACTCACTCATGATAAGATCCACTGGGAATACAAGTACCATACTCCAGTATTGTTATGTGAGGAGGAAGGTTCCACATTGTTCTTACAAAAGGATCTTCAATGCAATAGCATTCCTGTGTCAAGTTACATTACCAAATCCTGTTCCTTCACAGAGATTTGTGTATTATTGGTTATATGACATTTTATGTGAATGCCAAGTAGAATTACAGTAAGCAGCAGCAGAAGTAGTAGTAGTAGTAGTAGTAGTAGTAGTAGAGTAGTAGTAGTTTCTTAAGTTGTCTGTACAGCAAAACCAGATAAACAGCAGCAACAACTGAAAATAAAGAATTCCTTAATGCCTACTGCATGCTTTCCAGTTGACGTGTTGTAAAGACTTCCATGATGAGAAAGTTGAGAGCATAGATGACTCATAATTCAGCCCAGCACGTTGTGTAAGGTATGAATGAGTTTGAAAGCTGGTGAATTCTATATCCGAAAGTTTATTGATGGTTTGATTACTCTGTGGCATGCCTGTATTGTATGTGCCTGACAGAAAATTGTTCCAGGAACTTCCTCGGTGTTTACTCCTTCTCTTGAGGGGTTGAGAGGCTGGGGTTTACTTGGTTTTAGCTACAACTTTCTAACTCTTTGTCCTCACAGGAGCGTAAGTAAAGCTTCCGCTATGTTAAGTAGAATGTATGGTTAAGTTTTAAGTTCAGGCCATTGTTCTAATTGACTATTATCTTTAAGTTATCCTACACAGCTTCTAAGAACAGAGTCTTTCTACAGTAGATGATAATCTCTTGGCTGGTCAGGAAACTCCCTTCCTTTTATGAAATGTGGTTTGTCATTGTATTCCTAAAAAGGTTACCTGGAACCAACCCAAAACTGCAAACATCCAGCTTAATATTATTCTCTTATCTAGGCCTTGGTCTCCACTTCACAATCCTTCAGGCATTTCTTATCTGCCATGTATATTACTTGTCATGTCCATCTCATTCTACTTGAAATCAAACCCAAATAGTAATAATTTTTAAGAGTAAAGAGTATGAAGCTTTCCATTGTGTAATTTTCTTGATTTTCATTTTACTTCCTATTTGTTGGGTCCAACTATTTTAATTTTAAATTTCATAATCAGTTAGTTGGTTGGTTTGTCCTTTTCTTGTTAGCATTATGGACAAAGCTTGGTTACCACTCTGGTGCTGGATAATGCATCCCCTCAATGAGTCTTCCAAATAACTCCCTCTCTGATACTATATCCCCTGTAGAGATGGTTTTGCATGGTTCTAAAACCATCAAGAACTCTTCTCAAATCCCTGTTGAATATTCTTACCATTACAGAACATCTAATAGATCCTGCATTCACAACTTCACAACTTAGGTTACAAATAAATTAAATATTTGAATTTATTTGCTCATGGAACTGAGCCTTTTTTGAGAAACCACCAATTGTACAGCTACTCAAAGACTTCCCAGCATTTTATGGAACCCAAAGGTTCATTAGTGTGTTCACAAGGACCAACCACAGGTCTCTATCCTGAGCCAGATCAATCCAGTCCATACTGTCACATGCTATTTGCCTAAGATCCATTTTAATATTGTCCACCCACCTATATCTCAGTCTTCCTAGTGGTCTCTTTCCTTCTGGCTTTCCCACCAATATCCTATATGCATTCCTCTTCACCCCCTCCTTGACTTGATCATTCTAATTATATTTAGAGAAGAGTAAAACTTATGACACTTGATTATATTTATTTATTTCAGGTGAGCATCCTGCTGCAATGCAACATGGGAACAGCAGCAGTGGTTCTGTCACACAATATCTATCAGTACTACTAATGGTGATATGGTCTATATTCCACAATGCCATTCAAATATCAGAATGGCCATCCTACATTATTTCAAGATGATGGGTGATGGCAGAATAAATTGAACAACAGTAACCACAATAGTAGCAGTTTCTGGTCACATGGAAGATCAATCTGTTGTGGGAAACAGATTTAGGGCTATGAACTAATATTTCCATTTATTTTTTCTTTCCTCTTTCTCGCAGAGCTTTTCTATGAAGACTTACAAGCCCTGAAGATGCCACAACGACGAAAGGTGGTCTATGAACCGTTCAAATTAGTCCACGGAACATTAAAAGAAATATCTAATTCTGTAGAACTCTTTAAGAAGAACATATACCCTAAACTTATACTGATCTTCAATGTCCTAACCCTTTTCCTGATTCTAAAACACCTTATTTATTAAAAAAGTGACTACATTAAAAAGAACTTAATGACAGTTGTAAGTCTGTGTTAGTTTCAACAGCAGGGTTAAAAGATATTTTGTTTAAATGTTTTTATTTTCTTTTCCTGCTGTTATCAGTATTAAGGTCATGTACACATATGCACAGAGGCTTTATTCATCTGGTTAGATTGTGGGAGTGCCTTAACCCTAATGTTGTGCACAGAGTAATATGAAATCATGAGCAACTCTTACTGTACATTATGACTGCTGATTAAACAACAATTTGGTTCCTGCAGTAATGAAGAGACATTCATTTTTGCTGATTTCAGGTACAGAACTGAAATGTGGGACAGGTTAATTTTGGTTGGTTTATAAACTGCAGATTGTTGTTTATAAAACTGGATATCAAATGACATGTTAATAGTGTAGTACCTAAAACAGAGTGGATTTTGTTAATGACTGACTTTCCAAGATTTAACTACAGACGCTTTGATGTGACCATTTGCTGTGCTTGAAATTCCATTTATATCAATGCAGAAACTGTATTGAAATGTACATAAACTGAAAATTGGTGACAGTGTTATCTTTTCCATTACACATAAAGAAATTCTTTAGTGAACATATGAATTTCTAGTAAGGGGACTGAGAAACTTATTAGTCCATTCATACAGGAAAAACAGTGTACCCTACAGCAGAAGAAGAATATGTGAGATTTCTGTAAGGAAGGAATAAAAAAGGATTTATTATACAAGTAGATAAAGAACCAGCTCACTAATTTCTTTCTGGATGTTATCTCAAAATCAGATCAACACTGGCAGTATCAAGAAAGGCGGTTATCTCAAAATAAAAATAATTAATTAGAAAATATTTTTTTGAATATGTAAATTTGTAAATAATTCCAAAAAACTGTACATACAATATTCTATAGCTGTGGACTCAAAGGCCATATCGTCTTTTGTGTTAATATATGAGTAATATACAAAGGGACTGAGAGCAAGTAAAAATAAAGTACTCGTAAATGTTGGTAAATATATAAGGAAATGTTAGGCACATTTAAGTGTCAACATGTGAAAGAGTTGGTGAATAAAATAGCCTAATTTTTTGTCACATCTTTTGAGGTAAGAAATCTGTTTCTTGTTGAAAATGAAGTGGTTAGAGGGCTTGAAAGAGGCTATTGCCTAGTAGGTAGTGTTATATATATTATCTGTACCATGTTCCAAGAGAATGTGTGCTACAGTGTGTTAATCTGACATACAGTTAGTGTCTGATATAACTGAAGCTCTCTCTCATCTTTGTATCTGTTGTAAGGGATACAGGGACAAGAAGTAAACTTGTGTTTCCTTCACCTGTGGTACACAGTGAAATTGCATGACTACAAAGATTCTTGATAGTATAGTCTTGTTTAACACATTCAGACTTACGATAAGATATTTACTCTACAATTTTCATTACGTTAAATATTCTCTGTTGGAAATGTCTAACATAGCACAGGATTTAGCATTTGTAATTTTAGTTGGAGTCCATAGAGTTTGCTTAAAATACATTATTGAAGGAAAAGGACACCCAACATGAAAAAGGAAAAATCTTGCAAAAATATTATATCAGTGTGTATCAGTATCCTTTTTGTACAAATTTTATTGGCAAAATAGCTGGAGTACAAAACATAACCTCTTCAATTAGTGCTGAATGTGTTAAATCTAGCTCAAAATGTTGTCTTTGTAATGGAAGGTCCAGTCTTTAGAAAGAACCCTTTCCTTCCCTCCTTAAAATAAGTTTCATTAGTTCTGAAATACATTCTCAAGAAATAGACAATTATCTGAGCTCACAATTTCAGCGAAACGTATTATTCTTGGACCAAACTCAAGTAGAGTAAAAATCTTCTCGCAACAGGATACATCTGAAATCCATCTCAAAAATATTAATTAATCCATTATATTATAGTCTTTGATTGTAATTTCCATCACCAGCTACTTCGTTATATAGCAAAGCAAAGGCTGGGATGTACTGAATTATATATTTTCAAAAATTATTTCATGCAGAATGAAGCACGTAGGCTATAATATTTTTCAAAGCCTGCATGCATCCATCAATTTGTCACCTCCGCAAGTCAGTGGTTTTGTCTGCAGTCCTCAATGGGAAGACCAATGAGGTTTCAAGGACATCTGTATCATATACGGGGTCTTCCAAAGAGAATTCTACCATATTAAATTACATAATTATATTAATTATTATCAGAAAACGATTTAATATATTTGAAAACATAGACAAACTTCCCAAGTTTCATTTATCATTTCCATTCAAACGTGTTTCTTTTTACTGCCACTAGGCAGCGCTGTATGCGAAAATGGCGGCCATACAACAAAAGACGCGATTCGCGAAGTCAGAATCTGTTATGATTATGCAACGCAAGTTTCGCAAACAATTTCAAAGTGATCCACCAAGTAAGAAAACCATTTTTCGGTGATATCGACAGTTCCAGGAGAAAGGGTCCATTTGCAAGTGAAAAAGTCCAGGACCGCCCAGAATCCTATGCACGGAGCCCACGTAAGTCACTAAGCCGCTGTACTCGAGAATTAAGTATATCTCAAACAACACTGGATTGGTTATGAAAGTATTTCAGTATAGAACAACGCTTGATTTTTTAATGTATATTAATCTGATAAATAATATCTGCAATATACTTTGTATAAAATTACCTATAACCTTAAAAAGTATTGAGGTGAGAACACGGATTTGGTATACCTACTGTGTGAGGAGTAATTTAGGTCTGCACTCTTTATAAACAAGGGAAATTTGTTCAAAATCAATACAGCTTATTTGATTAAGTCAACATTACGTATTCCAAAAATACACTTATATCATCATTTACATATTTTCATGCTAATTTTTCTTTTATGATTTAATGGCTTTTCTTACTGGCATTCAACTAATTCACAAATAGAGTGAAATGGCAGAATTTACTTGTTTCTATTCTCAGTGTTTGATATATAAATATAGAGTAAAACCTCATTTAAAATTTATTTTGGGATCAGTGGATTTCAACACTAAATTCTGGTATATCTTAAACCAAAGGAATTTAACACTGAGATTATTGACTATGGATCATTTAAATTTATAATTCAATGAAGGGAAACTTTAAACGGGGAACATTACGTGGGGTTTCTAATTTACTCCAAAAAATAAAGTCATAAAGGAAACTCTTTCAGGTGTGGTAGAACAGGTAGAGAACATGCTCCGCCAAAAGTAATAAATTTCTACCAAATTATACGGAGTCCTATCTGTGAGATCATACCCTTCATAGCCACTACCTTGAGAACCTCAAATCGGTAACGGCTAGCTAACACAAGCATCTGAAGAACAAAATTTCGAGGATTATCTTATAAATTCAGTTTGAATAGTTTTAAAATCTTTAAAAATTTTCGATAGATGGGAGGACGTCCCATTCCACAGTATTAAGATATCAGGAAATTGGTGCTGATTTTAGTGCAATGTAGGACTCACACTTACAGAATCATAAGTGTTAAATGCTTCGAAGTGAAGCCTTGAACTTGGTTGGTCCAAATTTAAGTTCCTATCCTTCCATATCCATACTGTCACGTGTCCGGGGTTTCGTGACGAATAATAAGGGGTTCTGGATTGGATGTTCGGATGTGTTGACATCTTATTTTACAGTCTCCCCTATTCACAATTAATTATAGCGCCCCTGTTAATCTACCCACTTCACAGATCACTAGGACACGTTAACCGTTTCCTGACAACGGATCCGTTGGATATTCTGAAGTCTCCCAGGCAAGATATTATTGGGGATACCTGGTTGTATAATGAGCTGGGATAGCGTAGTCGTAATAGCGACTGGCTACGGACTGGACGACAGAGAGGTCAGCGTTCAAGTCTCGGTAGGGTCAAGAATGTTCTCTTTTCCACGTAGTCCAGACCGGCTCTGTGGTCCACCCAGCCTACTATATAATGAGTACAGGGGACTCTTTCCCGGGTTAAAGCGGCGGGGGCGAGAAGATGACCACTCGCCTCCAACTAGTGCCGAGGTCAAGAAAATGTGGAGCTATACATCCACTCCCTCATACACCTTAATGGCCTAGTGCTTAGTTATTTAAACACAGGGTCAACTTTACGTTTTACCTTTACCTTGGACGCATAAAAGATAGAGTTATTATTGGAACAGGCCATGAAGGCCCATAGGGTCGAGACGTCGAGGTTCCCATATTTTCTCTAGATAATAGGCTGCATATGATAAGATAATATATAAGGTTAGAGGATGTGGAATGGATTCATCTGGCTCAAGACAGTCCAATAACAGGCCTTTATAGCCCAGAGCTATAGAGGTGGAAAGTGTAGGGAACCGATGACAAGAACTGAAAGTGTAGAGATGTAGGTACGAGATATTAGAGAAGATTTTCATCTGTCGTAAACGACACCAAGGTTCTCATAAGTCCAGAGCGTGAATGAGTAAGTAAGTAGCCTCTTGTGGTAGAGGTAATGAACCTTCGAGTCGCATAGGAAGGGGGGAGTTCATGACGGTCTGAGCAAGCATTATCTTCTCAAGAAGGTTTCTGCTTCATGAAGCTGGTTAGTTAGTTAATTACTTTAATTATAATGAGGCTGGTTGTAGGCCACTTCAGCACTCAGTTTCATCCTTGACCTCTCTTCCAACTGACGTGGCTGAACCACTACCTTAATAGAGTGTTTACCTCGCGACAAGTGATGATGAATTATACATTACATGAAACATTCCGAGAGATCCTTCAAATGGGTCTATTAAAATTCCCAACCGCCACCAATAAGATGATTACGATTTTCCCTGGAAATTGAAACCCTTGCAAAGCTGTCGATTAGGAGTATCACACTGTTGTGTTTCTAAATACTACTATTAGAAGATCCCAGGCTACACACAAGACATTGCGTTCAAAATCATTGCTATTTAAAAGATGGACTTCTCTGATATTTGAGATCAGAAAGTAATAAGAAGTGTTCGGCGATCTACCAAAAGTTCAGTTGCATTGCATTTTTTCAGCAACGGAAACTATAAAATGCCATGGAAACGGGCAAAGAGAAGAAGTTGTTTTCTTTAAACAAAACAAACCAGGAAACCAAACAAATGCACTATTCTCTTTATAAAATTGTTAGTCGCTGGTTTCCCATCGCGGCGGCCCGGGTTCGATCCCGGGTCTGGTCAAGTGGGATGTTTGGTGGATAAAGTAGCGCTGGGGCACGTTTTCTCCGAGTACTTCGGTTTCCCCTGCCAAATTTCATTCCACCAGTTGCTCCACAATCACCCTCACCTATCATCTGGGGCTGGTACAATAGACCAGAAGTGGCCGCAGTACAAGGGACTTAGTCCCAACCCACCAGCAATAAAAAATAAGATCTAAAAGTTTGTGTTAATGATACAATAGTAAAAATATTATGTTTGTGGACATCCATCGTCCTGCTTTTATTTAAAAACAGGATGATATATTAATAAAGTTTGTAATAAATTTCGTAACCATCATAGTGGGGAGGGGCACGCGGTAGCGTAGTTGGTTGAGGCACTATGCTACAAGCCGGAAGGTTACGGGTTCGAGTTCCGATGAGATGGATTTTTCAATTTATCTAATCCTTCAAGGCCATAATATGACCCTGGGTTCGACTCAGCCTATAACAGGAATGAGTATCAGGAATCTTCCTGGGGGGTAAAGGGCGGCCTGCGCGTAAGGCTAATTCCAATCCCAGTCGGGGTATATACGTGTGCCCGCGTTTCATGGAGCTGAGCCCTTCTTGAGGAGAAGCCAAATCTGCAGCTACTCAAGAATTTCCCAGTATTTTGTGGAACCCGAAGATTCATTACCGTGTTCACAAAAGGCCTCCACTGGTCCATATCCTGAGCCAGATCAATCCAATCCATACCATCCCATCCTATCTCTCTGAGATCCATTATAATATTGTCCATCCACCCACGCCTTGGCCTTCCCTGTGGTATCTTTCCTTCTGGCTTTCCCACCAATATCCTATACGAATTCCTCGTCTCCCCCATTCGTGCTACGTGTCCAGCCCACCTCATCCTCCTTGACTTGATCATTCTAATTATACTTGGAGAAGAGTAAAAGTAATGAAGCTCCTCATTATGCAGTTTCCTCCAACCTTCTGTCACTTCATTCCTCTTCGGTCCAAATATTCATCTGAGCAGCCTCTTCTCAAACACCCTCAGTCTATGTTCTTCCCTTAATATCAGAGACAAAGTTTCAAACCCATACAGACCCACAGACAGAATTGTAATTTTGTGTATTCCAGTTGTTATGTTTTTGGACAGCAGACGTGAAGACAAAAGGTTCTGGACTGAATGGTAGCAAG